CCAGGGCCCGTCATTCACTTGAACGCCCCGCCCCCACTTTCAGCGGAGCCTCAGTCTTCCTACCTGTAAAAGGGGCCTTTGGCCCAGCTTTGCGTCACTAGTCTGCAACGAGAGGGGGGGTGCCCCCGGCTGAGAGCCCTGGTGGAGACGGGGGACCTCTGCTCTGCTGGGCGAGGGGCCCCGCGGGTGGAGTTTGCTCCACTAATGTAAACACTGAACCACAACGATACGGACCCCCCCAAAATCATCAAGTGTAAGGGTGACAGAGGACTCCTTAACCTTAGAAGTGATGGGTGACCTCTCACACTAGAGCACAAAAGTTTAAAACTTCAAGAAAGAAAACCAAAATTAAAAAGCAAAACAGTAATTTGAGGGACACAAATGCAACAAGCACCACAGATGATAAAAATCCTTGATTGAGAAAGACACGAAGCCCACAGAAGACGAAGGGGGCAGACAGCTCACCAGAGAAGTCAAACAGGAAACAGGAGAAAAATAAACCTCAACAGCAGTCAGATTAAACAAAACTAAAGGACTGAAGCAGTAAGATCTCAGAAACCCTTTCTACGGCTTTCCACCCTGCTCAGAATAAAAGATAAATTCTTCATCCTGGCTTGGGGGCTCTCACCCCGCTTTCTGGCGACCTCCTGTGTGGCCACATGGGCCCCGCACAAAATGGGCTAATGCATTACAGGTAGCCTGAGGCTGTGCTGGACGCGGCTCCGCCTAGGCCGGTAACTCTGGACACTGGCTTTGCTTCCAGCTCTACTAAAGCCCCAGCTACACCTCTTCCAGGCCTAGTTTAAGGGAAATGGGACTTTGCAAACTGAGGAAAATAACACTATGCAGATTGCGAGTCTTAGAAAATTCTTTTTCTCAAGAAATTTTAAGACTCCCATTAACAGAGAAATTCCACCCGCGCAGTTCTCCCATAAACAGTCACCTTTGGGTCACACAAAGGCTGGCTTTCTCTCCCATGCCTATCTTTAAACTCAGCTCTGGCTTTGCTTGGGCGTGCCAGGTTCAGGGGGCCACACTCAACGCCCCCCATTCGCCAGCACCTCCCCAAGTCCCCTGGGATCAGGTTGGGATGGACCTCATTTATAATTTTTACATGAATTCCATGCTGAAATGGTACTGTTTTAGATATATTAGGTTACAGAAAATATTATTAAAATCAATTTCACATATGGATTCTCTTATTAATCTGAGTCAGATTCCCAAGAATGGGATTGCTGGGTTGAACAGTATATGTAAATTTAATTTTACTCGGCGTTGCCAGGTTGCTTTAAAAAAATGTCACAACAATTCACATTTCAGCAACGGTCTTTAGAAAACTCCTTTCCCTGACATACATATTAATACTTATTTTACTTTTATCAGTCTGCTAAAATAAATACTGCTAGGTATAAAGGGATACGTTGTGTCTTAAGTTTACAGTTTTCTAACTACTAACAAGCTTGAGGACTTTTTCTGTGTTGATCATTTAGATTTGCTTCTCTGGGAATTGCTGTGTTAACTGGATTAGGTTCAGCTGTATAGAGCAGAAAACCCGAAAATAGTAGAGCCTATTTTTTGTTGTTCTCAGCCCCCAAGTTCCAAGGTGGCTGCAGAGTGCCAGGCATCACATCCCCATTCCAAGCAGCAGGAGAGAGGCCGGCACAAAGGAGGGCACACTCCCTCCCTTTAAGGAGCCTTCTTGGACACTACACAACATATTTCTGCTTGCATATGTTGAATCAGAACTTAGTCACATGGCTTTACCTAGCTGCAAGAGAGGCTTACAAATTTAGTTTTTGAGTTGCTACCCTAAGTAAAATCAGGAGTCTGTTAACGTGCAGGATAAGGGTAGAGGGGATGGTAATTGGAGTGAGCAGCTAGAAGAAATCTCTGCTGCACTGCCTTCTTTTTTTGCCAATATTTCATTTGGTTATTTCCCCTTTTTTCTTTCAATACTGTATTAGGTTGAACTGTATGAAATTGTTGATATTTTACTTTTTTGTCCAACAAAAATAGCAATTTCACATGATGCAACCCAGTTGATATGGACTCTTTGCCTTTTTCTCTCACCAGCATGGTAAATGTCTTTTTCCAAAGTTGATGCCTTTATATTAAATGTGTTGTCCCTTTTGCCATTCAAAAAGTTAGTTTTTATAGTCACATGTGCTTACTTTTCTCTTATAGCTTTGCGGTTGCCTGTTTTGGCAGATAATTTTTCACATAGGTGTAATCTCCTATATTTCCTTCTAAGATTTGAATTGCATTACTTTTTAAAAAAACATTTAAATCTTTCATTGTTCTGGAATATATATATATTGCATATAGTGTAAAATCAGGTCCATAATCTTCCAGCTGGATGGCCAACTGCACCAGAACCATCTTTGATAAACATTAAAGTCATGCTCACAATGGGATCTATTTGGGGACTTTTGGGGAAATGTCAGCTTCTAAACTTGAAACTACTGAGTTTCCCACCCTCCCCCTCTGCTGCTTCAAAGGGTGGCTGGTGTGTGACCTGTGGTGCTCTGGAGAAGGCCAGATGTGAGGCACGTGGTCTCCTTCCCAAGTCATCCACACTTTTTCTCTTTGCACTACCTGGTTCCAGGCCTTGGCCTACATCATACAGAGTTTTGCAATGAGCCCAATATCAGTTTGGGTGGCGAGTGGCCCACTGATGAATGGGTGATTCATACTTTCAAGTGAATCATGTTCTACCTTCCTTTCAATGCTCTCCAACAGCCGCCTTGGGGCCCCACTGTGAGAGGGTAGATGTTGGGTCTTGCCCACCCCACCCATACCCGAGGTGCTCTCTACATGCAGGCATGGTAGTGACCACCAACTTACAGCAACAACAAAATCCGAGGCCAGATGGGTTCACTGGCAAATTATATCGAATGTTTAAAGAAAAAAGAATGCAGATCTCTCACAGACTCTACCATAAAATATTGTCTGCTTAGCCGGTTCTGTGAGGTCAGTGTTACCCTGATACCAAAACCAGGCAAAGACATCATAAGACCAGAAAACTACACGCCAATGACACTTATAAACATTGATGCAAGAATCCTCAACAGGATATTAGCAAACTGATTCCAGCAGCTTATTGAAATGATTATAGATCACGTTACACCGAGATTGTCCCAGAAATCAGCATATAAAAGGTTGGTTCGACATATGAAAGTCAATCAATGTGATGCATCATATTAATAAAGACAAAACAACATGATCATCTCAACAGACGCAGGGAAAGCATTTGACAAAA